ATATATTGATGTAAAAAATAATTTTTAAAAATAAAAAAATATTATTTTAATATATTTATAAAAAAATTATTTTTAAAAACAATTCGTATCGTTCTATCTCCTCAAAATAAATATAGTGGAACCAGCTTTTGGATTCTTAATTTTTTTTTTTAAGAAAAACTCAAAGGAGAGCTGGACTCGGAAATCAAGGATTACAAAACCTTAGAATAGCAACTTACAACTGTTTCTGAAAAATAAATGATGCGCAGTTGTACGTCGAATACCATAAGCAACAAGCCCATCAGCACCTCTGCTGGCTTCCATGCACAAGTAAGAACCAGCTTATGTGTTTGTGGTAAAACCCAAAATCATTTATGAACATAAGAAAGGGGCAACATGAAAATATTACTGCAAAGAGGGCTGGGCTTGAGTTAATGAAACCTTATTATCAAACAAAGAGGCCTAAACTTTCCTTGTAGAAGGCCTACAGTATATCATCCAATTTTTAACCTAAACTTCAAGTCTAAACTTTATGAGCAGGTGTGTCCTCTTTATGCTTCTCTCAGAGATGAACATGGCAAGCAATCTCTTAACACTAGCTCGGATTTTAAGGTCAATGAAGATGTTCACTGTAGTTAGACGCTGAACTTCAGCGGCTGAAGAGACAGCCATCCAGTGGAGCATACTTTAATTTCGATTCCTATATTGAAACAGCAACTAAACTAAATACATAAGAGTATTTATTTTGTCCAATAATATTGAACCCGTCTTTCTTCTCCTGCTTTTTTGTCGATGACAAACTTGGAAACCACACCATTGGAGCAGGCTCATATTTTAAAAACCTTTTTGGAGTAGCTCTCAATATTTAATTATGAGTGGAGCAGACGGCAACGGGTTACACTGCGGGAAAACCCTGCAATTTCGGCTGTTGAACCTCATAACATCACAACTATATTTAGCACACTATGGGCTCACCTCACTAGCCACTAGTTTTTCAAGAAAGATAAGCTAAATGTGGCACGATCTTTTGTACATATGGGTTCACTCTACCACCTTTTCAGATGAAAATGGCAAGGAAATCTTGGAGCACTGAGATAACCTGTCTTTCAAGTACATGGAGTTGTGTAAATCAGAGCTTTCTGGAATGAAATTAAACTGGAAAGGTTGCGGGACTCATAAATACTGTAGCAACCATACCTCCTACTGATCTTCTTTGGTTATAGCCCTTGAATATGCAAAAAAGATAAACAAGATCCAAGAAATCCAACGAGGAGAAAAAAGAGGGAAATAAACAAAATACAAAGAAAGGGAGTTTGGACCAAACATTGCTTATAATATTCATCAATGATGATGCTTTTGTTGGAAACCAGCTCCCCTCCTTTTGTGATCATTTTCGTATTATATTTCAAAGGTAAATCTTAATTTACGCTCCTGAAGTTTATGAGGTGTTTCAGTTTCATCTAAAGAATTTGTTTGTTTCAATTAACCTCCACTATTTTTGTTATCCGTTCAATTTCCCTAGCCTTCGGTCCATATTCTATTTATTTTCGTCAGTAATAGTAACAAAAAACGATGCCTAAATTGCAATTTCATGCCAAAAGTTTATGGATTACCTATTTAGCAACCATGAACAATTTGAACATCAAAATCATCATTTTGAAAATATTTCTTTTATGTTAAAGTTAAAAAAATATTTTTTTTCCCATAAAAATTATCAACAGGAACTTTCACAATACGAGAAGAAGGTTAAGTAGGAAACAAATAAGATAAAAAAAATTACCAACACTAGCAAGCACTAGTGTAGCTATCTCTTCTGCACACTCTCACTCGCATACATATGATGTATGCATATTTATAATTATTCATTAAGATCTATTAACAAATCTTTAATAAGAGTGCTACGAGGAAAAAGAAAAAATGAAATCTCATAGAATTGGAATGGTAGATTGAAGAAAAGTTTAATGTCACTTAAAATGTGATTTTTCTTCAAAGTTTTCATTTTTTAATTTCAACACATTTAATTTCTCTTTCCTTTTTAATACTATTTTTTAGATGATAGTGAGATATTTCATAAATTTTATAGATGAAATTTAAATCTACACACTTTTTTCCAATTATTATCACTAACACTACCAAAAAATCAATAAATATAAATAAAAATACCAGGGGAATATTTCTATCAATAAATTTTCAAGGAATTTTAATGACGAAAATATTCTCTTGGTATATATCGAGAGAATTACTGTGAAAAAAAATTTAAAACAAAGCAAAAAAATAACATGTAATTTTTATCAATGAAATTACTGAAGGAATAAATTTCATCGGTACATTCCTTTAGTAAAATCATTGATAAACTGTAAACATTGTTTATCATATCAATTACAAAGGGAATCATCGATGAAAAATTCCACTACTATTTTCTAGAAAGCTACAAAACTGTTTACATTCTAATTGCATTGTTAATTATTGTTTTTTACGAACAAAATCACTGATGAATTGAAAAGTTGTTGGTGTTATTTGGTGATTTTCTGAAAAAAATCAATTAATTTAATATTTTTATTTAAATATTACAGACGAAATCACCAACGGATTGAAAAATCATTGGTGATTATTGACGGTTTTTGAAAACTTTTTATGAAATTAATAATTTAAATTAAATATTATAGACACAATTACTAATGAAATAATTAAAAGTATTAATTTTTAATTATCTGTCAGTAAAATCGTCACTAACACGCCCCGATAAAAAGTATGAATTCCTTTATTTCATAAGAGACAATCTCATTTCATCATCTTCTTCTTCTTTACATGTAAAAATATCAATATGAATATCTATTTCTTTCTGTTCTTTTTTCCTTCATGCTCGGATGTGTCTTCTTCTTCTTCTTCTTTTATCCTCTTAGTTTTTTTTTTCAATTAATATGCTTTATAAAAAAATTTCTCTCTCCTTAGCTTCACTTGTAACTACATTAAGGTAAGATTTTTTTCTTTTTTTTTTCATGATTTTTTTCACTATTTTTATTTTATTTTTTATTATTTTTGTTCTTAATAATTATATGAATGTTGTTGTGAAATTTTTTTTCATATGAGATAAATTTTTAGTTGATTTATTTATAGGATTTTTAAATTTTTAGCAATTACAACTTCATTTTTTTCATATGAATTGTTTTAGTTGAATTTATTTTTTTCATTTTATTTATTTGTTGCAAATTTATTTGAGTTGATTTTCTTCTTCTTTTTTCCTAGCATTTTGAATATATATTATAAAGTGTTGATTTATGTTAATTTAATTAATTTATAAAATTATTTTTTAAAAATATTTTTAAATAATTACCAACAAAATTACCAATGATATATTTTAAGGGATATACCAACGGAATGAAGAGGATAATTTTTTTTACATGGTTATTTCATCAGTAAATCTATCGGTAATAATATTTTTTTATTATCAATAGATTTACCGATGGATAAAAAATTACCAATAAAATATTCATCGATAGAGTATTTTTGTTAATAATTTTGTTGATAAATTAATTACCAATAGAATATGTATCTTACGCTGACGAAATTTTTTCATCGGTAAAATTGTTAAATGTTGTAGTGTAAATTTAGGGATGAATAAGAGAAATTGAAATGATTATTTAAAGTATGGAGATTAATTGTAATAAATCAAACTTTTTAAGATAAAATTATAAAATTAACCTTATATATTTTACTCTGCATCTTAAAAATCGTAAGCTCTAATAGTAAAACTTTGCACTGAGGCTCTTCATATTATCTTAATATATCAGACGAGATTGCGGATCAAGATTTAATCTCTCTTTTAAAAAAATTATTGTTCCGTCCATGTGAATAAAATCAGATAATTATTTGTACAATAAACCCATTGCTATAAATATGCGTTAATCCGTACCAAAAAATATGGGTTTATGCAACTACTCCTATACGATGATCGGTGTAGTCCACGAACGTTACAATTTCTAATCTTTTTTTTTGGTCGAAAGAAAATGTTACCAATTATCGATAAATCTTTAACCTTAGAGCAGGGAGTTCTTAGGTTACGGATTCAAGTCATTTTTCTAGATACTAAAATATTTTAGTGTGAAAAACGTTTTAATTAGAAGAGAGAACTAGAGAAGCCCTTCAAATTAATATTCAATACTTCTCTTTTCATAATAATATAATTTTTATTATCTTGCTAACCACTAACCCATAGAGCATTTAACTACTGCTTGTGGATTATAGGGCCTTAAGCGTAAAAAAAAAAAAACAATTAGGAATATGCATTATAGCCATTTCACCAAAAAAAAAAAAAAGCATTCTAGAAAGGAAAGACAAATGTGAAAATAAGAAATATTGGTGAACTGACCGAAAGAAAGAAAATGCAAGAAATCTGACTCCGCGCATTTTCGACAAGGAGATCAAAAAATTTTAAGACGCATCGATTGCTGCGTCCCTGTGAAGAATGCAACTTAATTATTAAAATTTTTGATTTATTTTTAAAGATTATTAATTTGAGTTTTATAAATTTTAAAATTATTATAATTTTAAGATTCATGATATTATTAAAATATATACAAGCTGACAGAATATTTATATTAATTAGAAAAAAAAACTACATTATTTAAGATCTCATGATGAACTAGCCAGTAGCCTTGTGGAGGGGGCATTGACAAACAACAGAATTATTATTTGTTCCTCGCTATTGTTATCATTATCATAATGTTGCTAGGGTCCAATATTTAGGTGGTGATTTAAAATAAAAAAACTACCAATTAAGCTCGTTTGACCTTCGGTTAATTTCAATCACAATGGTTAACAAACAAGGCCCCCCTCTCTATCTTCTCGGTTATTTCCATGTATTCTAAAAATCAACCAATCATATCCAGACAAGTCATCGAGCACATCGAGCTGTGCCATCTACGCATTGCTCTTCAGTTTTCGTTGCACACAAATAAGGCTACTGTGTACTTTAGTAAAACTTAAATAGAAGTGAAAGGTCTCCAATAATTCATGCTAGATTTAGCATAAAGGTAATAACCTGGCAGGGCCGGGTTTTAGTACATTTAGCAAGCAGTGACCAAAACATGTGGAGCACTTTGCAGGGGATGGGTAACCAGCTCTAATGGGATCTTCAGCTTTTGGTTGGGAATTTGATGTGCTCTTTGCTTCAACTTTATTAATCTCCACTTCTCTCCCTCTCAATCCAAAACCCAACTCTATATATAGTGTGCATGATTTGGTCAGTTTTGTTTCTCTCTCTTTCTTCTGTACTATTTAACTTTTGAGAGACGGGTTTTTTACTTTTGTTATTTGCGATATGATTTGAGCTAGACTGTTGTTGTTTTTTCTTTCTATCTTGATAGGTCTCCCTTAACCATAAAGAACTCATGATGGAGAGGAAAAGTTTGAGTAGCAACGTGAACGGCCATAGTAATATTGGAAGTAAAGCGTGCAACGACAATGACAAGAAGAAGAAGCTTAGAGATTCATGGAACTTTTGCAGCTGCCAAAGCAATGGACATGATTATCTTGGTGGGCTTTCTTGGCCTCCAAGATTGTACACTTGTAGCTTCTGCAAAAGGGAATTTAAATCTGCTCAAGCTCTTGGAGGTCACATGAATGTTCATAGGAGAGACAGAGCCAGGTTGAGACTGTCACCTCCAAGGGATGACCAGTATCCTATTCTGACCCTTAACCTGAACCCTAACCCTAGTTTCTGTACTCCATTCAATTGCACAATACCATCCTTGGTTACTCCTCCTCTTACTGCACTATCTACACCATCTTTAGCTTCCGAAGTCAGGAAATGGACCGTTGGTGGTAACCCTCTCGACCCTTCAAGCCCCAACCTTTCTGATTTAACAACAAACGGGAGCAGAAAATCCTTCTTTGAAAACTTCGATGGTTTCACACGGCAAGATGGATTCAAGATCTGGAATAAGGGTGAGATTGTGAGGTTAGATTTGGATATTGGTCTTGCCAGTGACTCCAAGGATGATTTGGATTTGGAACTTCGACTGGGATCTCTTAATTAGGTGAACATGGGCAGCCTCATCAACGCAAACTAACACGTTAAACCTTGGAAGCTTGTAGTTGCACCAGTTGTGAGATTATGTATTATAAGATGTCTAATTGCTTAGTTATTAATCCTCCATAGTTTCTTGCAAAGTTAAGGAGATATCAATTTCAAAAGCCAATTAATATTGTCCCTCGCCTAGAACTCGTGTTTCTTTTACTTTGATTTTCACATGTTATTTGTTCTGTTATCAAGTCTCTTTTTTCGCTTAATCATGTCAGTAATAATGTTATCTAGATTTTCTGTCAGCATATTATATAGTTCAGCTAGTATAACTCTTGTCTTTTGTATATAGCATATATGTTTAGCTTCAGTTAATTTAGACTGTGATATCTCCCATTTCTTTAGAGAGAGAGAGACAGCCGTTGGGTGTGAGATGAAGAATTTTGATGATTCATCCATGAAAAGAATGTCGGCTTCTTCTTCTTGTTCTTTTTTTTGTAATTTTTCTCCTTTGTAGGTAGCGTGGATTGTGGTTCTTGTTAGGTTAACTGTAACTTAACAACAAAAGGAGTTATTCTAATTAAAAATGGAAGAAATATAACTCTTCCAGTAGATGTATTTACACTGTATTGTGATTATTCTGAACAAAAAAGAGACCGATCATGCAGTTTAGGATTCTTGAAGAAAGATAATATGGAAGAAGAAGAAGAAGTAGAGGTGGATGGGAATAGAGAAACATAGGAGGTCTTCCTGCTCTACCAACAGATTTCTGAGCGATTTATAGCCACCAAACCAAAATTAAAGCGAGGGATGTGTAGCAAATTAACAGCAGGTTTGCTGGTTGACAAAAGTTATTAATTATATTTTATGAGTATGTGCGGAAATGATATACAAATGTTGTTTTTTAAATTTATCAAAATAGTATTATTTTTAATTTTTGATATAAATTAATATATCAAAATGGGGGGGAAAAAACTAGCAGTGAGATTACATGATGTTGCATGAACTATGATATACAACAAAAAAATAAAATAATAAATAAATATATATATATATATATATATATATATATATATCAAATAAAAAAAATTGTGTGGTGAGGTTAGAAGATTTTTTTTTTTGTAGATTAATTTGAGAGTTTTTTAATTTCTTAATTAAGATGCTCTCTTAATCTAAAAACAGTAAGGCTTGAAGTTTGAACTGAAATTATTATGTAAAAGGATGAGGTTAGCCGAGGCAAATCATTGACTGTTGAATCAAAACAACTTTGATATCGAATCAAAGTATAATTAATCGCACATGGTAAGCCGCCGACCCCTTCCTTTTTCTTCTCTAGTATTTAATCATTGTTCTTCTTTTGCCTTCCATTATAATCTAGAGATAAGCAGCTCTGCCTCCATGGCAGTTGACGGAAAGATTTCGAAGCTAAATGTCTTTGTTGAATATCATGGGGAGAAGATTATGTCGAAGAAAAGCACCGAGCTTTGTTTGAAACTTAGAAACCTCCAGCTATACGTACAAGATGATGGAAATTGACTTATATTTTAACTTTTTGAGAAGTCTTTTTCGATACATGGAGCAAATGCTCTGTTGTTTCAATCATGATGGCAGACCTTGGAACCAAGTTCCACCACCTACTTCGTAAGTGTAAACTGTGCAAAAGCCATCATGCCATTTGATCTTTTCTCTCTTCAAGTGCATTGAAGAAACATGAGAACAAAGAGTCCAGTAGTCAATTAGCCACCTACCAATTTGGTAGGCTACGTTTAGTATTGTAATTACTGTGTTTTTTAAATGTGATTTTTATTTAAAAATATATTAAAATTATTTTTTTGTATTTTTTATTGAACAACATTTAAAAAAATCATATATTTTTTTGTGCCAAATGTATTTTGAAATCCAACTAAGCAAACAGGTAGACATGCAAAGCTAAACAGCCTCAGTGATCCAAGTTTCAACATTCAGTTTATATGAGCAAAATCGCCTTCTTCTTCTTCTAGCTTGTGAATCATTGATTGATATGTATATACTTTCAGGATATCATCAAATAAAAATCTTGTATTTGTGAAGACAAATAATATAGGCGTCGTGCGAATTCATTTAAACTTTATGCGGAAAGAAAATCTTTCAATTTTTACAATCACAATTCTACTTGTGTTGAAATTAATTTTTATTCATTTATTTTTATTTTTTTTGCAATGGTTAGTTTAGCAATTGACCACGCCATAGTCATTGATATAGCTTTATATTAAGTTGGTGTTCCATTGAAACTGTGAGTCCGCATTATTTTTTTAGTAAAATATTTAAATGTTTTTAGCACGTTTACAAAAAATAATAATTTAATAACTTAAGTTATAATTCCAACCAACTAAATAAACTAAATAAATTGGTTTTATTTAAATAATAGGAAAAAAAGGATAGCAAATGAGAAAACACACACACACATATATATCTATATACCGATCAATAAAGATTAAAATAAATAAATAAAATAATATATTATCAACTTGAATTGAATAGTGAAATTAAAAATAAAAGAGTTAAGAAAAAAAATTATAAAAATAAGAATGAATTTAAAAATATCAGTACATGATAAAAAAGACTTGAACATATAGAATCTTTGAACATGTTTACATAAAAAAATCATGAATGTAAATCTAAAGACTTATACATGTATCTAATACATCAAAATCATTGTGTAAATAAATAAAGAAAAAAATAAATTAATGATAAATAAAAATATAATTGGAAAAATCAAAATATCAATGTAAATCAAGATATTTAATATCGCAACACGAATCATTTACCTCGTTGTATTTAATGAAATTGTTTATGAAAATCAATTTATAATAGCGATTCACATATACATAAAATTTATTGAAGAAAATAAAAGAAAAAAAATATTATGCAGCATATATTAAAGATATTAAAAAAATAAATATTTAATCTATATAAAGTATTCAAAAAATTATAGATGAATCATACTGACCTATGAAAAAATTAAACGTACTTAATATAATTAAAAAATAATTGATATTCAAAAAAGGCTAAAATACTTGAAAAAATCATAAAGAAGGGATATTAATTAAAATATAAATTTAAAAATTATTTTAAAAAACACATATAAAAAAGAAATTAATATAAAAATTAAAAAAGAAAAAGCAATGAGGCCATGTGTTGTTGGGCATGGTAAGTCAGGTCTGGCACCTAACACAATAAAAAAAAAAAAGCCTGCGCTCGAGCCTTTAGGTTTTGTATTTTAACTCAAAAACTTGTTTTTAATCTATTTTTTATTTAAAACACATAGAAAACAACCTAGAAAATTTGTGAAATCAATCTATGACCCAAAAAACATAAAAAAAAATAGCCCAGAACTCGAAATCAACCATAAACCAAAACTCTTTCTAAGCCTAGATTTGTTATTTAGGTGAAAAAAAAACCTAATATTAAGTCTCATCATTATATGGAATATTTTGACACAAGATTCAACCATTTCAGTGGTTAAAAGATTTTTTTATGACAACTTTTTCTCTCTAAGCTAGAATCCAGTGATTCCCTCTCCTTTGCCTAAAAAAGGACTCCAAAAAAAGAAAAATGAAGTTTAGTCTTAAAATATATTGTTTAAAAAAATTTATAGGGATTGATTATAGAACAACTTAAAAAGATGGGGGGGCTAAAACGAGTGTTTTAAATAAATTAAAGACCTATCATCTATTTTACCTTTTTTTTATCACTTCAGCTCTCTGTCTTTCAATTCAAACCTCACCCCATAAAAAAAATATGCAATTTGGCTAAAATTAGGTCTTAAAAGGGCTCAATTATGCAAAATAAAAAAGTTTAAAGCTCAAATTGATTTTTTTTTTAAATTACAACCCTTAATGAACTATGAGATGATGAATAGTAAAAGATGGCTATAGTGTTTTACCTACACACTTTAGTTTTTCAAAAATTAACTAAAAAAGATGAAAATAAAGTTTAATACGAAAATGTTTTTCTAAAAAATTATAAGGATTAGTTATCGAATACTTAAAAATATAAGGGGTTAAAATGAATCTTTCAAACAAATTGCAAACACGCCACCTATTTTATCATATTTTTTCACTTTAATCCCATATCTTTCAATTCAACCTTCATCCCCAAAAAAAATTCAATTTGGCTATGAGTTGAACTTAATTATGCAAAAACATACTTGACAATCCAATCAAATTTTTTTATTATAAAAATCACTATTACAATTCATAGTGAATTGTGAAATGATAAACAATAAAAAATAGCTATAATATTTTACCTATGTCGCACATGTACGGCATTACGGTAATCATCCTCCTGAAATCATGATATAGGATGGAGAAATGGACAGGACATTATTATCCTTTATTAGTAAAAAAAATAAGAATCAGAGTCGTCATCTAATATTTTAATCACTAACAACTCTAACTAATCTTAAAGTTTGAAAAAGAGAACTGGTTGTGTAAAGAGAAAGTGTTAGCACCTCTAAGATATCTTATCCGAAGTAAGCTGTATTGTTTAATTATTTTATATAAACTAAGATATTGTTGTGTTTTCTAATTATTGATATGTTTAAAGTTTTTAAAAAACCATTCTCGATAAGAAGATTCTTTTTTCATCGTGTAAAAAACTTAACCGTTCTAATATCTATATATAAAAAAGAATTATTTTTTATTTAATATTAAAAATATATCTTGCGTATAAGTTTGTAATTTTAAATACTAAAAGAAAATAAAATAATTATTTTATATATTTTGAAATATAGGCAACGAAAATAAGAAAAAAAAATAAAAAATGGATAATCAATGATTCATTAAAAAAAAAAAAACTACTCATTAAATAACTCAAAAGGCAAAGATTTGATAAATCTGAATTTGCACGAATTTGGCTAGTACCAATTGAGAGTAGAATGGCGATGAGGAAAAAAAATGAAAATGAAAGGTTTCATGAGAAGTGAAGGTGAAGAGATACAAACGTAAGCAATCTCTATCATTCATGTGTGTGTTAAATCACCTGCTGATACATACACTACCACACCCATGATCCATGTGATATCATATACACAAATGAGAGGTGAGTTTTGTTTTTTTGGCTGAGCCTTTGGATGCGCTCTTTTTCCCAATCTCTGATGGTTTTGCTTGTTCCCGACATTGTCTGGACGTCAAAGGTATGATGGTTTTCCTTAAACAGAATGCAAGGTTTTGGTCAGCGCAG